ATACACAGGAAAAAAAATATTTGTGTATATTTAGAAATATATATATAGTGTGTGTGTGTGTGTGTGTGTGTGTGTGTGTGTGTGTGTGTGTGTGTGTGTGTGTGTGTGTTTATATTATGTATACATTTGTTGTGTTGTTTTTAAATGTAAAAGATGCCCTTATAGATAATGAAATATACCAGTAATGAAGCAAATAAATAAATAGTAATAGAGCATTTGTTGCATAATTGTATCGTACCCATTCATCTTAAGTTGAGAACTAGAAGTTTCACGAGATTTCGACTCATGTTGCCAAGCATGCCATGATCCCGCGTCCAGATGGAGGTGGGAAGTGGGCGCACACCCAACTCGCGCCACATAAAAGCCTCAGCAGCCGCCTCTCGCTAGACACAATAGAAATAACGCTCTTTGAGAAAAGAAAGGAAGCTCTTGCTTTATCTACATCACGAGACGTAGCTAATCTTCCTGAAGCAATATACGAGAAATATGGAAAGCAAAAATACTAACGCCCTTGCTGAACAGAAACCAGAAGTTCCCGAATGCAAAGAGGATTCACTTCTCCCAATCGCTGAGAAGGGACTTTTCTTCCACGATTCCTTCTTCGAGGATATTCGGAAGCACTTTGAGACAGCCATCGACCAAATCCTGGACACTTGGGGAGAAGCCAAATCCGTGAGTGATCTGATGAGTAGCTACAGACGTGTAAGAGACCGCAATTTGCAGCAGGAGAACCAAGTCATGGCCTTCAGCGAAGACGACCACAATCATAAGGTTAGTTCTACAATCTAAAATTTACGTGGATCGCAAACACACTGATTTAAACATTTATTTACATAAATAGAAGTTTGTTTAAAAAAAATATTCAAATTGAAAAATAGCTTTAATAAAACGATATAGGTCAATCAAACAGAGTATTTGAATATTCAGTAATATAAAAATGGAAGACAAAAACTAAATAACACTACTCGATTCTATAAACAGGTTGTACTAGATGTTGATGACTTCAAGAGTGGAGACGTTAAGGTCAGAGTGGAAGATAATCAGGTGGTGGTGGAAGGTTGCGTGGAAAAGGAAGAAGGTGACTTCAAGTCCATGAAAAGCTTCTGTCGACGTTTCAACTTCCCAGGCAAAGTGGACATGGAGGCCGTGACTTCCGCAATGTCTTCCGATGGCGTGTTGACTGTCACGGCTCCGAAGATTCCACAGGCAGCATAGGAAAACATATTTCATTAACTGGAACTGTAATCTAATCTTAAAGACAATGTGTTTAAGGAGCTATTTATTGTTATTTTTGATAATGTTAAAATAAATAATGATTTTGTTATTTTATGAATAAATTGTATTTGTTTACATATACGACTTTTCTTGCCTTCCCTTTTTGCGAAAATGTTTTGATAACAGATGGTTACCTAAGTAGGAAGTACTTGAAATGTATACACACATACATATGGTATGTTATAATCATCTTTCTATCTCTCTAAATGTACATGTGTGTTTGTGTGTTTCCGTGCGCGCGTTTGTACATATACATATCTGTACACTTATATTGTCCTCACACCAATACACACAAAGAATGTGTGTGTGTGTTCAGGCGCATTTTTGACCGTAAGATAATTCAAGAATTTTGAAAATTCTCGAAACCTCCTTGTCAGATATCTTGGTCTGGTTTCGTAACCAAACATTTTCAAACTTCCTCTGCTACACTTTCATGACGTCACAACAGTAAACAAACCGACAACGTGACCGACGGAAATGAATGACAACGATGAAATTCTCGTAATGATTTACTTATTTTGTCGCCAATAGATATGCTAGCAAGTTTTTTTATCTACCAGAAGTTCAAGCTATTTATAACTGTATTATGGCTTTCCTGGGAAAGCCATAATACAAAGTGCGTTTTTATTTACCGATGTTATTTCCATTCTAAACTCGCAGTTGAAAGACCCATCTTTGTTATGAATGGTAGATTATCCTTTTAGATTTGCTATAAAGTGTGTGGACGATTATTTCTTTTTTAACTTTTTGCTACGCATATGTATAAGATATTTTGAAATTCGTTTATCTTCTTCAGTAAATGTAAAACCACGACAAGAAAAGATTTCTTCTTCGGTAATATCACTAACATTACTAACAGCATCCACTGTTCTCTTCTGCGAATAATTCTGTCACTCACCATCTCGCATTGCGGTCGTTTGTTTACATTGATAGCAAGCTGGAAGTTGGGTCTGTGTTTGACGAATTCGGGAAGGCGAAGCAAACCAAACCAAACCATGGCTTGCTCGCGTTTCTCGTCAAAAGTGCGCATTATGTGTTTGTGTGTGCGTATATATGTGCTTATTTGTATTCAAGATCTACATATACATGCATATCTCTATATGGGTGCATGTGTATATATGTATATATTTTTATATTTAAAAGTATATATATGTGTGCATGTGCGTGCGTGCGTGTGTGTGTTAGTGCGAGTATGTGTTCTTGTGTCTATATAAATAATGACCATTCATGGAAAATATCTATATGAATAATTACTATTTAGGCATTTTTCGCAAGGTTTCACTGAATGCAATAATTTGAGAACTAGAAGTTTCACGAGATTTCGAATGAAGATGTTGCCAATTGTGCCATAGTCCCGCGTCCAGAAAGAGGTGGGAAGTGGGCGCACACCCAACTCGCGCCACATAAAAGCCTCAGCAGCCGCCTCTCGCTAGACACAACGGAAACAGCACTCGGTGAGAGAACAAAGCAAGCTGTAGCTTTATCTACATTTCCACGAGTCTTACTCTACCTTATTGAAGCGATAAACGATAGAGAAACATGGAAAACAAAAATACTACCTCCCTTGCTGAACAGAAACTAGAAGCTCCCGAATGCAAAGAGGATTCACTTCTCCCTATCGCTGACAAGGGACTTTTCTTCCACGATTCCTTCTTCGAGGATATTCGGAAGCACTTTGAGACAGCCATCGACCAAATGCTGGATTCTTGGGGAGAAGCCAAATCCGTGAGTGATCTGATGAGTAGCTACAGACGTGTAAGAGACCGCAATCTGCAGCAGGAGAACCAAGTCATGGCCTTCAGCGAAGACGATCAGAGTCACAAGGTAAGTTCTACAATCAAAAATCCATGTGGATCCCAAAAACACTGATTTAAATATTTATTTACATGAAAAGTAGAATAAAAAGATGTTAAAAAAAACTGTTGAAATTGAAGGTTAGGAAAAGTATTTAGATATTTATAAAAAAAAAAAAAAACTCGATTCTATATACAGGTTGTACTAGACGTTCATGACTTCAAGAGTGGAGACGTTAAAGTCAGAGTGGAATACAATCAGGTGGTGGTGGAAGGTTGCGTGGAAAAGGAAGAGGGCGACTTCAAGTCCATGAAAAGCTTCTGTCGACGTTTCAACTTCCCAGGCAAAGTGGACATGGAGGCCGTGACTTCCGCAATGTCTTCCGATGGCGTGTTGACTGTCACGGCTCCGAAGGTTCCACAGGCAGCATAAGAAAACATATTTCATTAACTGAAACTGTAATCTAATCTTAAAGACAATGTGTTTCAGGAAATATTTACTGATATTTTTGATAATGTTAAAATGAATAATGCTTTTGCTCTTTTATAAATAAATAGTATTTGTTTAAGTGTACGACTTTACTTGCCTTCCCTTTCCGCGAAACTGTTTGGATAACAAATGGTTACCTAGGCAGGAAGTACTTGAAATATATCCACACATATACGTATGGTATGTTATAATCATCTTTCTATCTTGTATATGCATATATATATATATATGTGTGTGTGTTTGTGCGCGCGCGCGTTTGTACACATCCATATTTGTATGCTTACATTATCCTCAGTCTTGAAACCTCCTTCTTGGTCAGATATCTTGGTCTGGTTTCGTAACCAAACCAAGCATTTTCTAACTTCCTCCAAGAGGAAGTTTGCTACACTTTCAGGACGTCATGATGATAAAGAAACCGCCAACATGGCCGAAAGAAATGAATGATAACGATGAAATTCTCGTGATAATTTACGTATTTTGTCGCCAATAGATGATAATATATACTAGCCATTTATTTTATCTACCAGAAGTATTAAATGGAGTATATTGACAGTTTTATTATTCTCAAGAAGGAAAGTACTAGGTATTTATAAATGTATAATGCCTATCCTGGGATGTTCGAAGTGCGCTTTTATTTACCCATGTTATATCCATTCTAAACTCGCAGTTTGGAAGACCCATCTTTGTTATGAGTAGTAGATAATAACCTTTTAGTCTTGCTTTAAAGTGTGTGGACGATTTACTTTTCTTTTTCCATAACTTTTGTGCGGCACAATATAGATATTTTAAAATTCTTATTTCGTTTATCTTTTTCATTAATGCAAAAACACGACATGAAAAGATTTCTTCGTCGGTAATTTCACTAACATTACTAACAGAGCCACTCTGTTTCCTTCTGCGAATGATTCTGTCACTCATATCTCGTATTGCGGGCGTTTGTTTACATTGATAGCAAGCTGGAAGCTGGGTCTGTTTTTGACGAATTCGGCAAGGTGAGGCAAACCAAACCAAACCATGGCTTGCTCGCGTTTCCCCTCAAAAAGGCCCATTATGTGTTTGTGTGTACGTATGTATGTGCTTATTTGTATTCAATATCTATATACATATGCATATCTCTATATATGAGGTTATGTGTGTGTGTATCCGTGCTTGTGTGTGTATGTGTGTGTGTGTGCGTTAATGCGCGTATTTTATTTCTATATAAAAATGACCATATAGATGATGGAATATATTTATAAACTCACACAAATAGATTTAATTCCTTTTTCGCAAGCTTGTACCGAAAGCAATCATCTTAATTAAGTTGAGAACATGAAGTTTCACGAGATTTCGAATGAAGATGTTGCCAAGAGTGCCTTAGTGATGCGTCCAGAAAGAGGTGGAAAGTGGGCGCACACCCAACTCGCGCCACAGAAAAGCCTCAGCAGTCGCCTCTCGCAAGACACAACGGAAAGAACACTCGTTGAGAGAAAGCAAGCTGTAGCTTTATCTACATTTCCACGAGTCTTACTCTACTTTATTGAAGCGATAAACGATAGAGAAATATGGAGAACAAAAATACTAGTGCTGAACAGAAACTAGAAGCTCCCAAATGCAAAGAGGATTCACTTCTCCCCATTGCTGAGAAGGGACTTTTCTTCCACGATTCCTTCTTCGAGGATATTCGGAAGCACTTTGAGACAGCCATCGACCAAATCCTGGACACTTGGGGAGAAACCAAGTCCGTGAGTGATCTGATGAGTAGCTACAGACGTGTAAGAGATCGCAATCTCCAACAGGAGAACCATGTCATGGCCTTCAGCGAAGACGACCACAATCATAAGGTTAGTTTTACTATCTAAAATCCATGTTGTTCGCAAACTAATAATTTAAACATTTATTTACATGAAAAAGAAATATGTTTAAAAAACTTTTCAGATTGAAGATTAGGTTTAAGAAATACAGGCCACGCAAACAGAGTATTTAGATATTAATATAAAATGAAAGACAAAAACTAGTAAAATAAATACTACTCGATTCTATATACAGGTTGTACTAGATGTCCATGACTTCAAGAGTGGAGACGTTAAGGTCAGAGTGGAATAATCAGGTGGTGGTGGAAGGTCGAGTGGAAAAGGAAGAGGGCGACTTCAAGTCCATGAAAAGCTTCTGTCGACGTTTCAACTTCCCAGGCAAAGTGGACATGGAGGCCGTGACTTCCGCAATGTCTTCCGATGGCGTGTTGACTGTCACGGCTCCGAAGATTCCACAGGCAGCATAAGAAAGCATATATTAACTGTGATTGTAACATAATCTTAAAGACAATGTATGTTTAAGTAACTACTTATTATTTAGGATAATATTAAAAAGGATAAGACTTTTTTTAATAAATTATATTTGTTTATATGCTTGTTTGACTTTACTTGCCTTCCTTTCTCGCGAACTTATCGAAAAAAGCATCGACTGTCATAGATTGCATAACAGATGGTTCTCCGAAAGTATTGAAGAAAAAAATAACTGTACCAAATGCAAAGAGAAATCACCAGCTGTCACAGAGATTGCACAGCAGATGGTTCTTCGAAACTCTCGAGGAAAATACCTTTACCAAATACAAAGATGATTCACTATTTGCAACTGTTGTGACCAGTGGCAGCTGGTTAAAAGACGTTAAGGTCAGAGTGGAAGATAATCAGGTGGTGGTGGAAGGTTGTGTGGAAAAGGAAGAAGGTGACTTCAAGTCCATGAAAAGCTTCTGTCGACGTTTCAACTTCCCAGGCAAAGTGGACATGGAGGCCGTGACTTCCGCAATGTCTTCCGATGGCGTGTTGACTGTCACGGCTCCGAAGATTCCACAGGCAGCATAGGAAAACATATTTCATTAACTGGAACTGTAATCTAATCTTAAAGACAATGTGTTTAAGGAGCTATTTATTGTTATTTTTGATAATGTTAAAATAAATAATGATTTTGTATTTTATGAATAAATTGTATTTGTTTACATATACGACTTTTCTTGCCTTCCCTTTTTGCGAAAATGTTTTGATAACAGATGGTTACCTAAGTAGGAAGTACTTGAAATGTATACACACATACATATGGTATGTTATAATCACCTTTCTATCTCTCTAAATGTACATGTGTGTTTATGTGTGTTTCCGTGCGCGCGTTTGTACATATACATATCTACTTATATTGTCCTCACGCCAATACACACAAAGAATGTGTGTGTGTGTTCAGGCGCATTTTTGACCGTAAGATAATTCAAGAATTTTGAAAAATCTCGAAACATCCTTCTTGTTAGATATCTTGGTCTGGTTTCGTAACCAAACATTTTCAAACTTCCTCTGCTACACTTTCATGACGTCACAACAGTAAACAAACCGACAACGTGACCGACGGAAAAGAATGACAACGATGAAATTCTCGTAATGATTTACTTATTTTGTCGCCAATAGATGATGATATATGCTAGCAAGTTATTTATCTACCAGAAGTTCAAGCCTATTTATAACAATGTATTATTGCTTTCTGCCGGAAAAACATAGAATTACCAAGTTCTTTCATT